AGGCTGACGCGGCGGCGGAACGCGGCGAGGACGTGGCGGTAAGCGGGCTCGGCGAGGAAGGTGAGCGTGGTGCCGGAGTCGACGACGGCCCCGCCGTTACCGTCGGCGTCGATCGCCCAGACGGAGCGAGGAATCGGTAGCTTAACGGCGTCAACGGAAACGCTCTCGACGGAGACGTAGTAGAAGGAGGGAGAGATAGGGTTGGTGAGCAACGGCGTGTAGGTGAGAACGTTCCGTGAAACGACGTCGTTGCCGATGGTGAGGTAACTAACGGGAGGCGGGGATAGGGTGTAGTCGAGCAGACAGTAAGAGAAGGTGTTCCCGAATTCGCGGGCGAGTTGGGAGGTGAAGGAGATTGGGCCGCGGCCCAGGCCCATTACGCCCTGCGCGCCGTTGAAGGTGGAGCCCGTGACGCTGGGGCCCGATATTTTAAAGGCGCAGCCGAAGGAGAGGTTTTTGAGCGTGCTTTGTTTTTTGGAAGAAGTGTTGAACGTCGTCGTTTCGGTGGAGAAGAAGCCCGTTGTGGTGGAGGCGTCCGCGTAGGAATATTTGTAGCGGCACGGGGTGTGGATTTTGGTTCGGTTGTTGCAACGACGCGGGTGGGGAACGAGTTGACACGGCGAGTCGTAGCAGTGGTGGGAGGAGAAGCTGGAGGAGTGGCGGGGGAGGAAGGCGGACCCCGGCGGGTGGGCGGAGCAGTTGCGGCAGGCCGAGCACTTCACCCAGAGGAGGTCGCTGCCCGTGTCCGCCACCAGGAGGAGCCGCTGGGGCGGGGACCCCAGCCGGAGCTCAGCGAAGTACTGCCCGGAGCCTGTGGCGGCGCCGGAGTTGATGGGGGAGGTGAGACGGCGGAGGTCGGCGGCGAGGAGGTTGGAGGCGGAGGGGAGGGTGGTCGGAGGGAGGAGGGGTAGCTTGAGGTATTGGGTGGCGGTGGAGAAATGTGTGAGAGTGAGAGTGATGAACATGAAAAGGAGAGAAGGGTGTGAAGGCATTGCCATTGTGAATGCAGTGTGAGAGAAGTGAATAGTGAATTTGCGTGGTTCTTATTTCACCATTTTTCAGTGCACGTTCATTGTCTCTGTGCCCATTTTGGTCCAATAGCTGTACGCCACGTGGCTTTTCCAGCTGTTTTAACTTTTATCCTTCTTATGAATATCATGTTGGTTTTTGTTTCAATGCACAGATGCTAGATGCTGCATGTGTGTGTATGTGGTGTAGTAGTGCATCTCGATTGACTCTGACAATGTTGTCTTTTGCTTTGTATTGTTTATTTTAATGATACTGTCTTATGTTTGATTAACACTAGTATGTAATATCCTAGACATACGTTTTTGTCTTCATTCAAAATTGGGTTACGGGGAGAAACCAGCACGTTCAAAAGTATCATCATTAATCACCTTTTGATTTTTTAGGTTTATAATAAATATCAAAAGTATCATCGTAACACACAGTTTTATACCAATTTCATTTCTTCACTGAAAAATGAATGACTTTATCACTATCTTTCTTTTTCTATTTTTCTCTATATACACATGCATGTTTCTATCCTGATCTTAATCTTAATATGTAAATAGAAATGAATGCTGAAGAAGAGAAATTTGACTCTCTTTTTTTTTTTTTTTTTTACCTTTTTTTTTTCAAACTCCTTTTCAAAATAACGAAACACTGAAAAATAGAAATAGCTTCCAAGGTCTTGTCATGTTCAATTTTATCAACTAAATCTAACTATAGGCATTCATTTATGCTCAGGCTTTTAATGAATAAGGTTTGAATACTGATTACCAACTTTACCGTATCAAAGTAGTTCAAATGCTTAGCTTGTTGGTGTACCCTATTATAAAGCTTATTAAAGTAAAAACATGAATCAATAATTCAATATTAATAACTGCACATTCCGACAAGAGTGATAAAATAATTGATTAGACAGTACTAAATAATTAATTGCATTTATGTGTTATTCTATCTGAGTTTAATGAAAAAAGAAAAATAGCGACATTGAAATGTCAATAAAAAATATGCTAACTAGTATGTGCTCTCGTGATTGTAAGCAACTCGAGATTAAAGTAAATAAGAGAGCGTGGAGATTAATATATAAAGTGAAAGACGGTGCCACAAGCACCATAAAAAAGTATAAATATTTTTCATTAAAGGTTTAGTTGTCTATAGAAAACTAAACTTTTATTTTCTCAAAAATGATGAACTCAATATCTTTAATTTGCCATTGGATGCTCAAGTTCACATGGCCCAAGGTTGTTAAGATTCTACAGTTCTTAATTTTTATTAATTTTTTATTTTTGTCTTTAGGGATTGAAAGGATTTGTCTGTGGTGGTATTTGTCTAAGCTTATGCAAATTTAACTAGATCCGCATGGCGGAATCTTTGCATTTGTATATGTTTCAGCATAATCATAACTATAGAACCCAACTGACATGTTTGGTTGTTAATCTTGGGAAATTTTGTATGTTGTAACTGTGTTTACTGAGTCCATTTGATTTGACGAGTGTTAGAAAATGGAAGTAAAAAAAAACTGTAATATATTATTGATCAATGAATTACATCAAAATAGAGATCAATAAATGATTAAAAAAAATTTCTCTATTTTTCTTATTAGTTAGAACGCGATGCATCATTAGTGAACAAAATATATATACCTAATATTCAAACATAAAATAGAGGACACCAATCAAGAAAGACAAGAAGCTAGGTAGGCACCTCAACAATTTTTAAACTTTGGCTTTCATAGGGTTCATATGCCTCACTACTCATCTTAAACCAAGTATTTTGATGCATAATTTAAGCTCCAACTCATCACTTTCGGTTTGCCTCGTCTGGGAATTCTTGTACCCCTGTATAGATTTTGTTTCAGTATAATGTTTAAGGATCAAAAGGGATTTTGGTCAATCAAATCATAGAAACATTAACCTTTTACATTTTATCCATAAAAAAACATTAACTAAGTCAAAATTGCCTTAAAAAAAAAAATACTAATTATACAGTCAGCTATATGCATTCTGCACAGTTATGCAGAACTTGTATCTTAAACTTTTTTCTTTTGGTTGTTGTTTAGAGCATTAGATTAACCTTTGACGTTTATTGTCTTTAAAAAAAATACTAATTATATGCATTCTGCACAGTTATACTGTCATCCATCCCTGGTCTTCACTGTCGTTAGTGTTGACGACCTTGTCGTCCAAGCTGGGTGAGTGCAGGGTCTCTTGGATGATGGTTCGATGTTGTCTAGAGCGTTTGGTGCTTGCGAGCTTTGACAGGAGGTCGGCTCTGGTGTTCTGTTCTCGCGGTACATGTTGTATAGTGAACTCGTCGAATGACGAGACCTGTTGTGATGCCATGTGGAAATACCGCTGTAGGAGAACGTCCTTGGCCTGGTATGTTCCACTGAGTTGCTCGACCATCAGTTTCGAGTCACTGTTGCACCTCACTCTTCGGGTCCCGAGGTCACGAGCCAGCCTCAGTCCTGCGAGAAGCGCCTCATATTCTGCCTGGTTGTTGGTCACCTTGAAGCTGAATTTGAGGGATTGCTCCAAAGTGACTTGGTTCGGTCCTTCCAATATGATACCTGCACCACCACCCTTAGAGCTAGATGCCGAACTCGGATAACTTGACCGACCATGCAATCATTCGCCCGGCGAGCTCCAGCTTCCTCAAGATCTGCTTGATTGGGTAATCAGTCTTGACGAATACTTGGTGACTCTAGAAGTAGGGTCGGAGACGTCGAGCAGCGGTGACGAGTTCCAGTGCTAGCTTCTCGATCATTTGGTACCGTCTCTCCGTGTCTTGGAGGACTCGGTTGATGAAGTAGATTGGCGTTTGTACTTTCTGGTGTTCTTGTACTATGATTGCGATGATGGCGTTTTCTGCCACGGCCAAGTAGAGGAGGAGGTTGGTTTTGTGATCCGGCCTCTGTAGGATTGGCGGGGTCGTCAGAAAAGCTTTGAAGCTCTTGAAAGCTTCTTCGCATTGGTCCGTCCACTCGAAGTTTTTTGGCTTGCGCAGAAAGGTTTTGAAGCTCTTGAAAGCTTCTTCGCATTGGTCCGTCCACTCGAAGTTTTTTGGCTTGCGCAGCAGGGTGAAGATAGGCCCTGCCTTGTCCGCCAACCTAGGGATAAATCGGGAAAGGGAGACCAACCTGCCTGCCAGACGCTGGACATCTTTCACGGTCTGGGGACTCTGCATCTGAATGATAGCTTTACATTTTTCCGGGTTGGCCTCGATCCCCCTGCTAGTGATCATGAAGCCCAGGAACTTGCCTCCCTGGACACCGAAGACGCACTTTTCTGGGTTGAGGCGCATGTTGTGCCTCCTGATCTGGCCAAATACTTCGGCGAGGTCAGCAGCATGAGCTTCTGCTGAGGTGGTCTTGACCACCTTGTCGTCGACGTAGACCTCCATGTTTCTTTCGATCTGCTGGTGGAAAACCTTGTCCATCAGCCGCTGGTAGGTGGCCCTTGCGTTTTTGAGGCCGAAGGGCATTACTCTGTAACAGTAATTGGCGCGGTCGGTGATGAACGACGTATGCACCTCGTCTGTTGGGTACATCATGATCTGGTTGTACCCGGAGTAGGCGTCGAGGAAACTGAGGAGGGCGTGTCCGGATGCCCCGTCAACCAGCCTGTCGATACTCGGCAATGGGTACGAGTCCTTGGGGCATGCCTTGTTCAGGTCGGTGTAGTCGACGCACATGCGCCATTTGCCCGAGCTCTTTTTCACCAAAACCACGTTTGCCAGCCACGTGGTGTATCTGACCTCACGGATGAAGTCAGCATTCAATAACTTCTAGGTTTCGGTGATAATGGCTTCTCGCCTAAACCGTGTTTACTGAGTCCATTTGATTTGACGAGTGTTAGAAAATGGAAGTAAAAAAAAACTGTAATATATTATTGATCAATGAATTACATCAAGATAGAGATCAATAAATGATTAAAAAAAACTTCTCTATTTTTCTTATTAGTTAGAACGCGATGCATCATTAGTGAACAAAATATATATACCTGATATTCAAACATAAAATAGAGGACGCCAATCAAGAAAGACAAGAAGCTAGGTAGGCACCTCAGCAATTTTTAAACTTTGGCTTTCATAGGGTTCATATGCCTCACTACTGATCTTAAACCAAGTATTTTGATGCATAATTTAAGCTCCAACTCATCACTTTTGGTTTGCCTCGTCTGGGAATTCTTGTACCCCTGTATAGATTTTGTTTCAGTATAATATTTAAGGACCAAAAGGGATTTTGGTCAATCAAATCATAGAAACATTAACCTTTTACATTTTATACATACAGAAACATTAACTAAGTCCATATTGTCTTTAAAAAAAAATACTAATTATGCAGTCAGCTATATGCATTCTGCACAGTTATGCAGAACTTGTATCTTGAACTTTTTTCTTTTGGTTGTTGTTTAGAGCATTAGATTAACCTTTGAACTTTAAACTTACGACTAGTGTAAACACTATTTTATCTCTTTTTAACCTTAACCAAAGAATGCCCGCCTATAAACTTGAGGTATGAAACTTCACAATCAAGCCTCAATTATACAGAACCAAAGCATTTATTCTACATAATTTCCTAACACAACTGGGATACAATTCCTTAAATTAAGATTGATCCATTTTGGCCCACAAACTTTGGCAACCCATTTTTTTTCTTTAAGCCTTGTTCGAGACTATATTATTGACTTCTTAAATATTGAATATCTTCACTTGTCTGATAACTACATTGATTTGGTGAAAGGATAATTTAATACCATTATCAGTGATAGTTTAAATAGTCAAGAATTAATGTAAAATCTAGTTACCGAAACAAAAAAGCAAAATAAGAAGCTAGCATAAAATTGCAAGCAATTGCAAAAAGATGACTTAAAACAGAACAAGAGATGCTTCCAATTTTTTAAAACGTATATGATCACAATTGTAAAATGTAGACAGCTATAAGGATTAAAATAACAATTAAACCAATTTAATATTATATTATTAAATAAAACATTAGGCAATGTTGGGGTTGTAACCAATTCCTTTCCAATAGTATTGTGTAAGATGACTTTGCATCAAGAACAAAGAAAACAGAAGTGCTGATCTTGGGCCCTTCGATTAAAATCACTCCTGGATTTTGCCCAGTGACTTCATTGTGTAGTAAGACATCATGATCATAAAGGCTCTATTGTCCATGTAAACAACATTTGCTTTACATATTTATAATAGAAACGAGTGTTCAGAGAGCATCAAGCTCATCACTGTTTCAGAAAATATAAATTTAACTAATAAACTGTATCAACATTTATATCGGCTAAAAGGGTTGGACGATATATCTTTCTAAACCAAAAATGTAAGAATAACATAGGTTTATAGAATTATTCATAAGAATGATTTGATGAGATATTCGTGTATAATTCGAATGAAAGAGTACACAGTTTTGGTATTTATCAACATTAAGAATTGTGATAGTCATCACATCACATCACGTGCTGATTGGAAGGGCAGTGCAGAATTGCTATAATTAGTTAAGTAATGAGGAGTTGAGGACTACACTCAATCTCGTGGAGATGCTTTGTTGCAAACTACAATTGTTTATTGTAGCATTTTGAACCCGAAATTTGTTCATGATGCAAGCACGTGAACACTTCTGAAATGAGAGAATGTATCAGATAGCACCTTGACTAAATTAGTGGCAACATTTGACATAGCTCTTAGGAATCTTGTTGCATATATCAGAAATGTTCACTTTATTAGCAGGAAGTCAAATTCTGTGTCAATCTTGTTGCAGTCCTAACAAATATTGGAAAGCAAGTCACAATCAGATCAGTTAAGATAGTATTCAGACATTCTATGAGTTAAAAGATGACTACTAAGCAAGCCATATTGCAGTCTAAGGAAGTCATAAGTAAACTCTCATGGCCAGTTAGTTGAAAAGTCAGGAGTGAAGTTATCTAGTTTTTGTCCTTGTCATTTCTATCCTAATGCCTTAGTTGAAAGGCCAGGAGGGTGATGGTGTGGTGAACTATAGAGTTACATTCTACATAATCATAAACTTGTTATCTCTATGTACGCGTGTTCTATGGTGTGGTGAACCATTGAATTTGGTTCTGTAACATCATCATAAACTTCTCAAACTGCTCTAAAGAATTTTATATTAAGCATTGTTAATGTCCAACAAAACCTTCTAAAGCCTAGCCTCTGCACCAAAGGTGCAATATTCCATGAGGATTTGTTAGCTGATTTCTTGCAATCTTCTAATGGGAATGGGAGCATGTCACTAACAACCTTGGTGCATTTTTTTTTTTGGCTAAACTGCTTGCATCTTCTCTAGTTAATGTTGCTATCACCTTGTTTTCTTCATCTTAAATACTTTTATGGTCAAATTTAAAAGATAACATACAATAGTTTAGAACAGAAATGAGAGGGACAAGCAAACAAGAGTAGCAGCAATCCAAATGGCCTTAGGCAGGTTACTTAATAATGTCAACTATATGCACCCAAAAATATCAATGAATAAAAATTTCGACAATAAAACTGAATGATTGACAACAGAATACAGTAGCCTGTGTTAAAAGTTACAAATTATCTCTAGGTACATAACAAGGTATCAAATAAGGCATCAGAACAATGAAACCAAAGTGGTGTGACAAGGTGTACCATTATGTACTTACATGGATCGATAAATAGTTTATTGCACATGAACTTAACCCCAATTTCCATCACAACAAGGACAAAACAGAAAAAACAAGATGGTCCTTCTTTTGGGACAGTGAAAAAAAAAATGCTTAAACATGGGTTCATATTCTTGAACAAACCTTTTACATATCAGAAGGAAGAGGAGGAAAAATGCGTGACACAGGAGATATTACATATTCTTGGACATATTTCTTAGAATTGTTTGGGTCAGGAATCCAATGAATCTCACTCATATGTGGTGTCTCAACATAGGCCATAGTAAACTCCCCCACCTTCACTAGCTTCCCTCTCTTCCCTGCCCGTAGTACAAGGTTCCTGTGCTGGTATGAAAATATGCCATTGGTAAGACAAATTATGTCACCTGAATCAAACGCATCACACTCGTCTCCCCAAAACTGAAAATGAACAGCTGCAGTTTCATCAGCCACAAGGGCCAAGCACATCTTCTTATGCCCTTCTACTGTGGTTTTCCCTTTGTCCAAAAGGATGAATTTAGTGTCTATGTTGTTCTGAGCTGCAGGCACAATGTTTTTGAGATGAATCATGTTTTCACTCATTCCTTCAATAACCTGCAATGCATTTCATTATATAAGTAAACACAGAATCATGTTGTATGAAAATAGCTTGTACAAGTTTTCCTTTTACCATATTTTAGGAATTAAGAAGCTTCTTAGAACCAAAATAAAAATGTAACAGATACATATTTGTATTTGTATAACATAAAACAAGATAGGATATAAAGTTAATTATCCACTGCCATGCCACATTAGTTACAATGATACAAGTGAAAGAGATTATAAGAAAACAAATTGCAATCAAAACTTACTTGTTAATAGAAGAATGGAAAAATGAATGGAGACAGTAGACACAAAAAAAGATCAGGAGTGTAGAAACTAGAAAATCAATAGAAAACCCTAAACCCCAAATCTTACCCGCTGAAAATTTCCTCTTTTGTTTTGTTCAATTAGATTAGCTAATTGAAGGGTTACATCCCTTGCTACGTCACTTTGTGTATTAATTTTATGAATTTTGAGAATTAGATTTATTGATAACTTATTTAGATTTTAAGTTAGCATGACTTGTAAAAAAAAAAATTTAATGTGACTTTTTGGATCATTTGAAAGGTTTTATTTTGAAATTTGATTCTGCAATATTTTTTCTTCAGTCTCTCTCTAATAACATTAATAATCATTGAATATATCTAATAGTTCAAATTTAATCTTATAAAAATTATTTAAGAAGTTGCATTAATTATAAGATTAAATTTGAGTCATTAGATATATCTAATAGTTATTAATGTTACTGAAAAAAGGCTAGAGAGAGAATATTTCATGAGAGGATCCATATTTTTTATTTTATCTTTCTAGACATGGTTAATATTAATTTTATTAAATTAAAATTTATTATAAAAAGTATTTTTATTTTAATATATCAAAACATCTCATGTTATTTAAAAATCAAGATTAAAAATAATTTATAAACATCTTTTTACCGTAGTTGATAAAAATGATTTTTTTAGATAATAATTATATATAAAGTAGGGATGAGAGAAAAAAAATATCCACATATACTTCCATATAAAATAACACTATAAATAGTAAATCACTTGAAATTCTTACGATTGTTCAAACATGTGAGAAACAAAACTCTTGTTTTAGATCTTTTAAAAAATTACGATAATATTTATATAACTTTTTTAGGGTATATAACTCAAAAAAAATAATTTTTTATTCTTTAAAACACATTTTAGAAAATATATCTCTTAAAAATATATAAATATAATTAATTTTTTAAAGTTTATCTCTAAAATATTTTTATTTTCTTACTAATGAGACTAGGATATTTCGTGTTTCTATATTTTTATCTAATAAAGATATTTAAAAATTATAAAATATTTATTAGATCAATTAAGATTATGTTTGATCCTCAAATTTTAAAGTCTCAAGTATGAGTTTTATTTGTAAAAATAATTATTTTTTAAAATTATTTTTTATTATTAAAAATTAAAGAATAAATTTGTCTAAAAATATATGCACCAAATCAAACTATCATCTTTATATATGTTATAGATTTAAAAAATATTATTATTAATTTATTAAAAAAAACTCATTTTAAGATTTGTTTACTATGTTGTATATGAGCCTTGCATACAACAAAATACCAATATCCATATATAGGCTGCTGAAAATCGAATTAATGCAAACAAAAATTCCTAAACTGAAAATTGATGGAGAATCATAAATTAGTGATTCGGTTCGATTTTTAAATTTTCAAAATCACATGACTTAGTTCAATTTTTGGATTAGAATGTAAAACTCCTCTAAATTAAATAAAACCACACTTTTTTATAAATATATATATATATTTTTTAAATGCATAAAATATACAAAATTGACACATAACATAAAAGGTATTTTTATAAAATTGTAAGCCAAAGGTGTTTTTCTCTTCAACTATATGTTATAGTATTTAAAGGGTATTTTATAAAATTGTCAGTTATTAAACTAAATGCTAGAATGAAAAATTATTAATTATTTACAATGTTTGAAAATATTTTTTTTAAGTGACAAATTATATATATGAAAAAAATATCTAATATGATAATTAAAATTGTATTAAAGAAATAATATTATATATTTTTAAATAATTTCTAAATAAAAAAATTCTAAAAATCACAAAAAATCAAACCAAATCACATTGCCAATATCCCTATCCGTATGTATTTATATTTTAAAATCATTAAAAATATTATTGATTATATATAAAATAAATTGATCTAATATATTTTATAATCAATAGAGTTAAATCTACTTTTATCTTTATAGTTTCACAAATATTTCAATCTTTTAAATTTTTGTTGCAAATTTGGTTCCTATATCTCTTAAAATTAAACAATGTTAGTCTAGATTGATTCCAAGCAACACCCAATGTTGGCTAAAAAAATAAAGTGAATCAACAAATCTAAATTGTTTATAACTTTCAAAATAATCTATTGCTAATAAAGTTTGGGAGAAAAAAGTCTTACCCTGTATTGATTGGTGCAAGAACAAACTTGTGAAGCACCCTATTATCAACAAAAATACTAACTATTTTTTGCATTCGTTCTTTCACAGGTAATTCATGTTTTGTTATCTAGGGGGATAAGAAGAAGAACATCATATGATTTGGCTTAATAATTGTGTGATACAAGTACCTTATGAAAGAAAATAATATAATAATGAATTAGTAATATCATAAACGAGCTAATTAAAGTTTAAAAGTTAATGATGCAAAGTTTTATAACGTACTCAATATATATATATATATATGAACATGCCTATAAAGAATTTTGTTTGACAATTAGCTAGTCCCATAGAAAAATTTAAAAAAAATTTAAATTGTTTTGATAGATTATAAAATTTAATTGAAATAAAAAAAAAAACTTAACACATTTGTAATAAATAAAAAAACAATGTTGTTAAGTTGAAGTTAATACAACTAACAAGCTGTTAAGTATTATTATTTATGAACATGTCAATATTTCTGTTTAATTTTAGATGACATGTTAATAAGTGAACTAATTAACATTGCTTAACTTTGAAAACTGAGAAAACCAAATTTGCAATAAAAATTTTATAGGAATTAAAATTACACATTTGCAACTCAATTCCTAACGCAACATGAAATGAAACACTCAAAACCAAGGCTACCTGGACGCCATATAAAATTTACAGCTAAAAACAAATTACCGATAATAAATGAAGATGAAGGGTGAAGAACAAACAAGCTTTTATTTAATTTCATTTCGTGGGGAGGGAAGAGAAGATGAAAATATAAATACAAATTTATCACAAAAGCAATTGCCAATGCTAGGCAGTGTCACAGACATGTTTCAGCTTTCTAACGCCTTACAGTCACTGAAACTCCACCCTTTTGCCTGCTTGACAAAACAGCACCCTTTGACAACGATGATGGCTTAAATCCACCAGCTAGAAGGCTTGACGCTGAAGATGCAGAAATTTTTCTTCGTTTAGACTCTAGGTCTTGTCTTCTCTTATCGGGCATTGAATAGCTAGACACTCCAGCGAAGATGGATCCAGCACTGATCAATGCCCTCTTGTCCTTCCTATTCTTGTCAAACTTGGTTGGAAACTTCACTTGTTTTGCTGTGGCAGCATCTTGTTCTGTAGCTGGAAGTAATCTTATGCCAAGGCCTCTTTTCCTGGAAGCATTCTCTTCTTCAGCAACTCTTTTCTTTTGACCCTGAGAAAATGGAAAAGCATTAACAAATGTTTATTTTCTTTAAAGCAGGATGACAATCATGAACAAAAGAAACAATATATTCCAGGGTGAAAATGAAAAAACAAACGGAAAGTGAACTAGGACAAATAACAATAGCCAAGGAACATACTCTAAGCTGGGCCCGAAGAGTCTTATTGAGAGAATAGTCATCTGAATGCCTGGTATCAGACATCCGCTGGAGACGTACAAGCACTGGCTCAGCTTCCTTCTTTTTCTTCATATCCTCTTCCTGGTGTTCAAGGCGATAAAATGGATCTGCAAGCTTACCCCTCTCTAAAATAAAGTACAATAAAATTGAAGATGAAAATAGTTAGCTAACATTAACCACAACATTTCAGTTGCTAGATATGATCAAAGGCAAATGAAAAGGAAAAATATACCACTACTGCTACATTTAGAAGGAAAATAAATTCAATCCATGGAAAACAGCCATTGGACCCTATGGATCTGATGGTATGCTCTTCATGCTTCTATAACAGTTCCCGGGTGCAATAATATATTCCAAGCCAGTGGAAAGGAAACACAAACTGCAAAAATTTTTTTACCAACACTACAATACACACCTTCATCAGCAGGTAATTCAAAAGTTTCAGCATCCTCAACATCAAAATCTTCATTTTTTTTCTGGGCCCCACTAATAATGACATATTCACAATTCTTAGGATCGGTCTGAATTACAATCTCATGTTTACAGCAGGCAGACTTCATAGTAAAGCTCCATATCTGAATGAACAATAAACATTTGTTAGAAAATAGTCAACAAAAAAGTTAGTTTGAACAGCATTATTAGAGGACGCACCAAGATATAAGGGGCATTCTACACCCATGTAACAGTGGCAAACTAAACAAAATATAACTATTTGTATGCATTTGCCTAGGCTTCTAAAACTTAAATCAGGTCCCCCCATTAAATATATCAAAATAATACAATTAGAGCTTGTTTAGATCCAAACTAGAATTTCTTTTGAGAGCTTCTCTATCGAAAATAAAGTTATTTCTGACAGAGAAACTCTCAAAAACATTTCTAAGGTTGTATCCAAACATGCTCTTAATCACTTCCACCGAAAAATAGTTTAAATTCAGATGCATTTGCAGTCAACCTCAGCATACCTTCGTTGAGTAATAATTTCCAACTTGTTTTTTCTCTGCATTGAACCGAACACCTTTTGCAATCATTGAATTGCATCCTCCACACCATATATGAAAAGGCATCTCAAACCTGAAAGTAGTTTAATTAGGTAATATGAAACTAACAATTAAATTAAAAATAATATCAACATCGTATACTACGCAAACCAATTTAAAGTTGGAGCTTAGAAAAATGAGACATCTCAAAAAAAAAAAAATTCCCTAGGTTCCATATACATCAGTTTAGGCATTTTGGGACAGTCATGCAAACAACATAACCCTTTTCCCACTAGGCTGGTTGACCTCATATATCAGATGATGTCATTGTACTGCCAAACCCAAATCTCTAGTGTTGGTCAGATGAGAGAAAAAGCCCAATAAATGGAGGTAAAGAAAAACTATAGTGAAACTATTAACAAAAGATTTGTGTAAATGGATTTTGAAGAATTGGTTTTCATTTTTCAGCAGAACACAAAGACGTCCTTTGACCTATTTAGTTATCCCAAATAATGGGGAAAAATATATATTTATGCCGGTTGTTGTTAAGATTCTCCAAATCATGATTCCCAAGGATGCTTACAATCTTGATCATACGGAAAACTGAGAACTGGTGGAATCCTTGTGAGATCACCAGGCAAGATTATGAAATCAGGGGAATCAAGTCAATCAACAATCTTCCTGAGCTGAGTGACCTGTGATACTGACAAGTTGACAAAACTAGTGTGCAACCTACAATTGAAGCTCCAGCAAAAACCTAATTGTCGTCAACCTCCTTCCATTACTTGGCTTGACCTCTCTAATTCCCTCATTGATCTCTATTTCTCCTTTCATTGATCTGTGCTCATTGATCTCTATTTCCCCTTTCACTGATCCATGCCAGTCAACAATCTCTCCCATTTGTTTTAACGTGTGTTTGATTAGCTTAATTTTAAGAAATAGTCCCTTATTTTTGTCAACTTTCTGAGAGCTTTTGAAAAATAAGCGATTTTTTGTCCTAAGAAAAGCTTTACCAAACATGCTCAGTTCCTTGTCAATGTTTAGCTTTGACCTATGTTGGGTGAGTGGTCACAATTCCTGTTCCCCCCTCCCCCTGCCCCAAAGAAAAAATAACAAAACACAAAGATATCCTTTATCCTGTGTATCATTATCTTAACCATCCATTTGAATTATATGGTTAACATTTGTTCCTCTCACACTCTCATCTTCCACCTTTTAAATCTGCTAGCACTGGTTCAAGCATGTAAAATTTTACATGGATTCAATTCAATCATAAGTGATCATCAGAATATAGTTATAATTCATAACATCTAACAAAATAGTTCCAATTTTGAAATTTATACTCCTGATAATCTGTAGTTTGTGCATGAACTTGATAGTTGATACAGAATAGATTTCAATTACTAAATAGGCTCACCATACACATTCATTAATCATGGTATTTTCCAAACTAGAACTTCAAGTAAGATAATGTAGTAGTACACAACATTAGGATCACTTATTCAAAAAAAGGTAATGGCGGACATGACTTAATGGTTACTGTAGCAACTGTTGATTACCTTATAATCAGGATACCCTGATCCAATTTTCTTGCCCTCTCCCTCAAGGCATGTTGACCATGAAACTTGTTCAGTGAACCCTGAAAATGAAGAAAATGAGTCTACTGATACTAAACAATTGTTGGGCTATAAAAAGGTGTTTAATGCCTGTTATACAAACATACCTGACTCGGTTCCCATTCTGGAGGATAGTAAAAGTTGTCCGCTCTAGCAGCCGCAAGTGAAGACTAAAAATCCAATCAGAGCAATCTCAGTATATCAGGAAATTAACAAACAGACCAATACATCACAAGCACAAAGAATATCTCTTAGCCAATACACAAAATTAAAACTGAAAACCATTAAACCACTACCAATCAATTGCCTAACAAGAACAGAATGCCATAGTTTTTCTCAAGGAAAACATTTGTATCAAAATTTAATACATAGCATAATCAAAATTTAATACATAGTACATATACATAATATGCACAAACATGGCCTACCAAACCTTCGTACATAGCTTATCACAATGAATATACCTATTATTTTCCAAATTTACAAAATGCCACCATGAAAACGAAGAGTTTTCTATATACGGTTTGAATTTGCTGCTACTAAAGGATCTCAACCCAACAAAACATGAACAACACACGATATCCACGAGTACATAACATCATCGAACAATTCAAAACTACAATAATGAAAATGAAATAGCCCTAATCAAAACAGAAAAGACAGAATTGAATCCGAAATTTAAGAAGCATGGAATTGAAAAAACCCTAATCGTGAACGCGCAATCATCAAACGTGAAAAACAAAAGTAAAAAAAAATTCGCACCATTGTTGCTTATCTCCTTGAAAGACTGAGAAGCTTTTCCCACAGAATCAGATATTCTTCAGTGGTTCAGAAATGTTCGATCGTATTGAAATTTATGGCTCAAAGGTTCTTCTATCGATTAACACGCAAACGGAAAGGGAAGGCGCTATATATATAAGAAGGTGGCGTCCGTTTCAGAGTTGGCGGAATGAAAGACGAAACGTTATGACGGCGTTAGGGAAGAGATTGTTGGACGGAAATTGTGTCTCTGACTGTGACTCACTGCATCCCCTTGTTTGTATCTTTGAAGCGTTTTAATTAAAAGTTAATCACCTATACCGATATAAAATTATTTTATATTAACAACTAATTATAATTTTTTAATTTTGTTATGTCACTCTAAATACATTTATTTTTAACAGTAACATGACAGAATTAAAAGATATAATTGGTTGTTAGTGTAAAAAAATTTTACATTGAAAGTACATAGATAATTAACTCTTTAATTAAATCGAAAATAAAATTTGCAGTACCGGGTTGAATATTATTATAGATTATTATTACTTATTTTTATTATTTATAACTAACGAAAAAAAAGAACATTTTGTTTATTTTTCAAATATAAAATAAAAGTGAATCATTAACTATCTAAAATATAAAATGAAAGTAATTTGTTAAAGATATCAATAATTTTTAAGTAGTTTTTTTAAGTAGTTGTAATTATAGTTATAAGAGTAGTTTTAAGCGATTTTGTAGAGTAAAATAATGAAAAGTTAAATAAATAATGGTGGGGAAAAAAAGTAGTTTAAGATGTAGTTACAAGATAGCAAAATAAGATAATCCCTTTTTATTATTGATGTGGATAGGTAATTTTATTATTGATTAGTGAAGTCAAGTTACTTGGTGTCTTCATATTTAATTTAATGAATGTTTTTATAATTATTTGTTAATTTAAATTAATAAAACGAAATATTAAATAATTTTTAAATTTTTTTAAAATTTTGTATGTTTGATCTACGCATTCAGAATTTCTAATTTAATGATGATTGGATCGTTGAAATTTAACATATACTATGAGTTATTGAATGAAATAACTTTATCAAGAGTTACTCTTAAAATCATTTGATTTCCCCTCATATAATATACATATATATAATAAAAATATTCTTATTTATTAATAATATATTTGAAAATATAAATATTTAATTTACAAATAATAAATTTAAATAATAATAGTAACGTATACTAATACTAATATATAAAGGATACCTTTTTTAAGTAACCATCTTTAGTCTTCACATTTGATAGACCATTATACCATTCTATTATAAAAATAATTTTTTAATAACTACTATTCTCATTTAATAATTACTCATTCTGCTATTTTTATTACTTAATTACCTTTACTACCTAATAATCTCAATTTCAGCAGTTTTTTTTGTCAAATTTTGGTCATTACCAATATTATCTATACTAATATATAAAAAGAATATCTCTTTTAGTAATCACATTTGGTAGATTATAATATCTTTTTATTATTAAATTTTTTTTAAAAAACAATACTTTTTTAATAACTACGCATTCTCTTTTAATATGATTCTATTATTTTTATTATTTAATTATCTTTATTACTTAATAATCTCAATTTTTATTTTATTTTTTAATTTTTTTAAATATCTATACTATCTATAAAGAAAATACCTTTTTAATAATTATTTTTGGTTTTTACTTTTGGTAGATTATTATACTCTTCTATTATTAAAAAATTAAAAATTAATAATTTTTTTAATAACTACCATTCTATTTTAATAATTAGTTATTGTACTATTCTCTTAACTACCTTCATTACTTATTTCTCAATTTTTATTTTATTATTTTATTGTTAATTTGTTAAATAAAATATAAAAATATAATGTCTCAATTTCACTTATAATAAGTTGAGGTACTTTATACCTCTATATTTATTTTAAAATATTTAAAAATTATCAATATTTATGAATTAATCAATATTGTGTTTAATCCTTAAATTTTAAGATCTCAAGTTCAAGTTTTTTATTTACAAAAATAATTAGTTTTTAATATTATTTAAAAATTTAAGGGTAAAATAATCGAAAAATTATGTACACAAAAATAAATAATCTATAAATTAGTGGGGTCAAGGAAGCACTTCATACCTCTATATGCTATTTAATAAAAATGTTTAATAATCAATTGTTATTATATTTAATAGATCAAAATTTGAATCTTATCTATTTAAGAATGATTAATTATTAATATTTTTTTATTATTTAAAATTTTAAAAATAAAATAGTTAAAAAATTCTTTACAACAAATGTAACAATATATTTATGCTATCCTTCTATTCATGGAGATCTCATTGAACTTGGTGTGTCAAGAATGCATGTCTAACTTTGTAGTTAACCTTGAGAAAGAAATATCTGACAAAACAAAATCCTAATCCCCCAACACACACCCTTAATTTCTTTCATGATCTTGCAAAACAACATTAAAATCCCCCAACACACACCAAGGATCGTATAGCTACCAGACGTTCCAGATTTCTCCACAATCCAACCCTTTGATGAGGTTGAGGGGCTAGCATACACCACCGTTAGAAAACTAGATCCAGATTCATTTGTCACTAAGAAATGAACAAATTGAAAACATTGTTCAATGATCGTAAGGGTCCACTTAGAAGAATCCCAAAGACACCATATTCCACCTGCACGCCCATGACCTTCAACAAGAAAAGACTTATCCAGGTTAATACGACGACTGATTTGGTGTGCCCGTTGGACAGTAACCTGTGTCTCCAGCAAACAACACACCAATATCATGTTCACGGATTAAATCATTTATTAGAGGGATAAAACTCTTACAACCAGTACCCCTACAACTCCAACTTAAGACATTCATCATCAATAGTTGGTTTGTTTGGTTTGAGAAACCCTTGAGACTACTCCTGTAACAGACCCAGAAGGTCCATCATCTTTGAACGTGGAGGACATATCTCCCTCAGACTTGAAATAGTGTTGCAATGCAGTAGCCATGGCCAAAGTATCATTATCAAGCTCTTGCACATGAGTTACCCAGTCTTGTACTCCCTTGTAGAGCCTGCTAGTGATTTTGCTACATTTTTTAGTCCTTCCATAACCAAAGACGTGTTTGTTTGTTCACGTTCTGCATGGGTCGCATTTGTCCATGCAACTTGTGACGTAGATTTTGCAACATCTATCTTTGACCCATTACGGTTAGCTTTCAAGATCGAAACACGTGGTTCGCTGCTCTTTTGCTTGGGAAGCGAGGTGATGGTAGAATTCTTCCCCCGATTTGCTTGTGGATTTTTTCCACCAATATAATTACAAATTTTCATGACTGTTTGAGGGATTGATTCAGTCTGGGTCCCACTATGGGTGGGCTGCACGTTGAAACATTTTCCAACTCCGCATCATGAATACCAAGAGCATGTGTCGTGTCCAACTTATCATTTATGGTTTCAAATCTATTTGTAACCACCTATGATTGCTTGCCTTATTGTCATTATGCCATCATCCATATTAGGTATTGGCAAGGAGACATCTGGCTCTACAACAACATCTATACTAACTTTTACATGTCCATTAGGTAGAGATCTCCTATTCAATGTATCACTTTGAATATTATGCAATTTTCCATGGGCAACCAAGCAAAGTAATGGTGATGATACAAACAATTTACAACATGAGACCCCCTACATTATAAAAACATAATTATATTATGAAATATTTAAATTAAGAAAATTTAGAGAGCTATTACAAATTTAAAGTAAGTAAATTACACCAAAATATTGAAGCTAATTAATATAGAGAAATTAATTACCTCAGGAAAGCTATTAGATGGGATTGTGCAACTCCCTTTGCCATTATTGTTACAAGCATAAAGTTGTTATATACTATCTGATGAGTCCTTTTGTCTAAGTGACAACATCTCTTTTTCCATTCGTGCCATTCTTGCACTCATGTCTCTCACTTGAGCAATTAATAAATCATGCTCCTGTTGTTTGTGTCGCTTTTTTGGTGGAAAATAGTCTTTGTGAGTGACTCCAAATCCCACACCCCTAGCACGACCAGGATACTCTAGGACACGTAAAGCTTGAGAAAGAATGTCTGAATGAGCATCACTTAATTATGTCCTCTGGATGTATAGTTTGTGATAACAATTCCTAAAAAATATATATAAAAAAAATTCAAGCATATAACCTCGCTATAACACATACTATAACTATTTTTAAGTCATATTTTATTATGAAAATATTTTACTCACATTTATCCCATGCTTGTTGAACATTTTCATTTTCAATTTCTCCAGCTTTGTTCACACGAGCATGCTTCCACAATTCTTGATGGGGAACACTTGTAACATTTGATCTTGATTTCTTTATCTAATTTTTGTGAAAATAATCATACAAGTTAGAATTCATATTGGAAACTTGTATATTATATATTTTTGTATGTATTGATTTACCATTTCTTGCTCGAGGCATGCATACCCCTTACATGAGGCCCTATAAGGGTACTTATTAGAGTGTGATGCCCTCTCCTTGTTTTTTTTTGTTTATTTCCTGTATAAAAAGGCAGTAAATGAGTTATATGTACATATTGTGAATCAAAGGATAAAGATACCATATTTGGATATTATACCTGAAAAGATTCATCCATACATTTTGCAACAAATTTTCTCCAAACATCCTTAGTGATCATGGATGCATACTGCTCAGGAGGTTGAGTAGGTGGACTATCTAAATAATTCTCATTCTCGTCTTTTAGATAACAATTAGCCAAGTAAGTTCTAAAATTCCTAAGCAATTTACATGCCACCTTTAGTACATGTTTCGAGACACACACATTTCACATGCCATTCGGATAGTGCACAATTACTCTTCAAGACGTTGGCATGCTTGTTGGTCTTCCGGTTGACGGTGAACCGGTATTATCTCGAGGCATTCCAAATATATTCGGATTGGGTAATTATAACTTCACTTTAACTTATTTGTAAATTTATAGTATATTTTTTTTATATTAATAATAGTTAAATTTTTTGTTTGATTTTATGCAGCTGAGGAGTTGTTAGGGGTTGTTCCACCGCAGTCTGAAATTAAAGGACATCGCGTGAGGCTATCTTGGTTGACTGCAAACTTTGGGGACATTGCTGATGACATAGATGATGTACATGTGTTGGCTCGTTATGCTAGAGCCTGGATATTACGTTATCTAGGAGGAGTGCTTGTTCCCGATAGATCT